CCTGTGTCTACCCCCTAAGGTAGTTATTTTATGTCCTGTATTCCTTTACTTCCCTTGCATCCAACACCTGAAGGACTGATCAGCACTATTTCCCCTCAACGGCCTGGGAAATAAATGGTTTCTGCTCTGCAGCTACGTCACCAGACATGCGGGACCTTTTGATGCAAACAATTACACATAAAATGTTCATCTGGAGGCAACCCAGCATTTATTAGTTCAGTGATCAGAAGACAGTCATCAAAAAGTATATTCTGTGACACTTTTGGCAGGAATTGAAGGACAACACTATCGAGTCTGAAGTTCTTTTCTGGAGTTGGGCTACATAGGCTGTGTGTGTCTATTTTTTGGCGACTGAATCCCAATGTGCAATTTCACTGAACAGGGAAAGTTTCTTCCTACTGGCTTAGCTGTGGATAAACATCCAGAACTGAGCATCATAAGGAAAGTGAAAAGTTAATATCTGCAAAAACATCAGAACTGAAAATAAAATGCTAATTTCATATGACAGGAAACACCATAACATTTTACATTCTAACCTATTTACTGCTGTGGGCAAGGTCTGGGTTTAATGCCAAAAGTGAACAGATAGGAAGTGCCAGAGCTCAAGAAGAACTACACTGATAGAGCTGGGATATGAAGAATATAAAGAGATATTTAAAAAGGTACAACTGTAAGAAACACTCTATTCTTTACTTGCTAACTTTAACTCCTGTGTCTCGATAAGATCCCCATCTTAGCCCAGTCACTGCAAACACAGGTTCCTTTTCTCCCTGTAAAGAAAAACAAAGTACAAAATTTACACCTTCTTGTCTTTTTCTGCAAACACAAGTCAATCATTCCTGCAAAGGCAGCTGATTTATGGTCAGTCTCAGAAATGGAATTTCCCATCAAGGGTGTTTGCCATGACAGCGGGCAATAGGGGTTGAGCAAAACACAAAGAGTATATTTCCCTGATTACTCCCAATAGAGAGGAAAGAGCTGAAGGTTTCTAGCAGGTTGAATGTGCCTGCAGACCCAGCAAGGGCCACTGCATTTTGTGGATACAGTTAGGCTAAAACAAAGAGTGCTGCACACCACTGCTAAGCACCAGCCATTCAGGCAGCCATTTGCTTGCAGAACAGAAATCAGAAAAGAAAAGGTGCTCAAAAAGGGGAACTGACATGGTCAGTAGGTGTCTAATCTCAGATTTTCCAGGATGGCAGGCTGTAAATTTCAATATATATGCAAGATAGAATTTAAATCATCTCAGCAGTGCTGTTATTACTCTATTACTCCCGGCATGACACTATTTGCAGGTTTTGCATTCACCTAGTACTTTCAGCCTCACAAGATTTCTAGACATTCAAACATTTCTTCCAGCTTACAACATCCAAATTCATTGCATGGAATCCATTTAGAGGACAAATGGCATGATTGCCTCTAAAACTACTGATGTCAGAAGCAGAGTCATGATTTCACCCCCCAGAAAGGAATGGTTCTTGTTACCTTACAGGATGCCTGGTAACTAATGAGAGTGGAATGGATAGAAATACACAAGGAATGAGCAGAAAAGTGTTGGGGATACTGTTCCCATCAAAAAGCATGAGTGGTACATGCTCTTTACCTTGATCTGCAGTATGTCAAGTGGAACTGTCTCGCCCTTCAGAATGGCAAGTGTAGCATTTGTGATGTGCCTAAAAAAACAAAACAAAAAGCCAGGGGGGCCTGCTTTGTGCTAGACTCTGCACTAACAGAGTGGAAAACAGATGCAACACCAAAGCTCTTACAATCTAAATTATGTCTCTTTTTCTTATAGGTTCAAAGCAAATGGAGGCAGCAGCAGTAAGTGACAAAGCCCAAGTCTTAACAGATGGAGGAAGAGACAGATACCAGAGAATGGAAAGATGTTTCCAGCTTGTCTGAGAAAGATCTCTGTCCCAATTAGTTTTGAAGATCATATACCTTGTGCATTCCCATCTGCTTTTGAAGCAGACTTCTAAAGATTCCAACTCCAAATTTCTTTTCCTGTTGGCAAGCAGAAAATAAGCACCAGGGTGGGGACAGGGGTGATCCAAGCCTAAGCACAGGTGTACATTAGTGATGCTTCTACACTGCATCAGTGCATTCATCTGCCTAAGAAAGCAAGCACTACGCAGATTTACAGACACCAGGCAGAGCGGAAACCAAGCAGCTAAGGTTCCCTGGTACAGAAAGCAAGACAGCAACTTTTGAGAAACTAAGGGAGAGATCTAAAGAAATGTCACTCACAAACAGTATCAAATGACTAAGATTCAACGTACTTTATCACATTAAATTAATCTATTCTATGATGTTTTATCCTTGCACAAATGCCCGTTGCCACAGCTCATCTCAACTCAGCTCTCATGCTTATGCTGTTACCAGCTACTTGTTTCCCCATGGTTCATTTTAAGGTGACACATGCACTTAAAAATGTGGCAGCTAAACTGTTACATTTCCTAAATAAGTCTGTATTAGCTAGTCAGAGATGTTTAAGATGAATTTCCTCCATAAATTACCAATTAAGAACTGCATTGAAGATTGTGTGCATCTGCTGTGTTATTATAGAATCAACAACCCACTTGGAGTCTAGTCCAATACCCAAGGAATTCAGCAGGGGTCTTCGCACCAGCTTCAGTGACCACAAATCAGGAAGCAGGAATCTGTCCCCTTCTCACTCTTCATTATGGCTTGTGCAAGAGAAAATCATGCTCAACTCTGCATGCATGCCTTAGGACTGAAGAGCCAATGCCCACATATTTCTCTTTTAAAATGCTACCATTGTGATTCTTAAGTCAGTTTTTGTTATGGATGTGGGCTGTTGAATATGTTCACTGACGGTCATTTCAACTTCCCAAATATGTTGCATTCGCTACTTGTACAATTCATCACCCACAAACAATAAAAATAATTCAGTCTTCAAAGCCCAAACATGAACTGTTATTTTAATCCTAATTGTTGTTTACAGCCTTGTCAATCTTGTTGAGTTTCAAAGCACTCTGGGAATTTTCATGAAGGACGGTATACCAGTTGGCTTGTGGGCTTTATGATGGATACTAGCTTGGAAGGCAAATGAATCACCATGGGTGACAGGTGCCTCCCGAGTCTGAGGGGGAAGCAGTGGGGCATGACCAAGGGGAGCGGGGGGTCCCCCAGTGTGCCACCAGCAGAGCCAATTTTGGGGGCGGCATGAGCGCTTTCTGTACCCCACTACCAGCTGGAATGCCGCTGTCAGGGGGGGCACCAGCTCTCTTGGGGGGGGGGGGCACATGCGCATCCCCCCTACACATCACCTATGCAAGTTACCAGGAACACTACAGTGAAAGGATCTGAGTGAGGGAAATATATAATGGGAAGGTGCAGTGAGGATTGGGAACTAGAAGAATATGGGGAGAAAAGGATGGGTTCATTGACTGAATTAAAAAAAAAAAAATGAAGAAAATAATCTTATATAACAAAATGAAGGAAACACAAATTAGTATACTGGATGAGACCCATGCTCCAAGTAATCCTCTCCCGTCTCCAACAGCTGTCAGTGCCCTTTTCACACTCCATTCAAGGAACAATTCCTCCTTACCCCTTTTACGCGTATATTAGGTTATGACCCAGGCGCAGGCAAGTATTTCAGGCAGAGGGCCACTTATCGAGTTTTGTCAAGCTGTTGAGGGCTGCGTGGATATCCCCACCCCTTGACAAGTGCCCTTCCCCTGGTCGTCATCTTGTGACCAGAAGTCCCAACCCCTAACCCTGACCTTTGCCATCAGAAGCCCCTCCTCTTCTCCCACAAGAACTCCTTTCAGCAAGGGGTTTTGCTATCTCAGAACTAGAAAAACACCAAATTATATTCTAAAAAACAAGCATCTACAACATTCATTACCTGATTTCAAAAAATATTTTTTCCTGGTTTACATGCGTAGTGAACATAGAGGTAATTGTATATAATATAAAGGTAATTGTATATAATAGCTTAAAATGAAGTCTCACTCTTGTATATTGTAGGGGGTGGGGGCATGGGATATGTGGAGTGTGGGCTGCTATGGGGTTTGTGGGGGGGGGTTGCGAGTGGGCGGGAGGGTGGCTGGGGTATGGGGATCTGTTTGTATGGTGGTGTGGGTGCATGTGTATGGTGGGAGGTATGTGTGGGACTCGCCCTATGAACACCCCCCCCCTCCCCCCCCAGGGTACTGGCGCAGCCTCATGCTCCTGGTCCGGCAATGCAGCCAGGAGCAGGAAGGCAAGCAAATGGCTGGGGGCAGTGTTGGGCTGCAGTGTCCTGCTGCCAGCTCC